TCGCATAAAAGAATGTAGTTCATTTCCACTGCGCGTTTCACCCACCTGATGAGGCAATATGAGGCGCCGGGTCAGGTGTGGGATGGGTAGGGCATGGGACAAGATGTACAGATGACACATGAGCTAAGCTGAGCCCCAGACACACACCTCACCCCAGTGGGAGAAGTGCTTAGCCAGGAGCCGCTTACCTCCATAAACATAATACGGTTTCAAAGAGCTCAAGTAAGCCAGGTGAGAGGAAGAAGTAGGAAAACAGAGGAAATGAGTAGGCGGACGGAGGCATACTTGCAACGGGTGCTCACAGCTGTATGTCTCTACTCTCAAACACCCCAAAGCGTGCTCAACAATTTACAAGAGAGCTTGTGTATAGGAAATAATAGCAGATAATAAGTTGGGAGGCTACAGCAGGGTCAAGATACGGGAACTACAACACCTGCAAATCGCAACAAGTGGGCTGACACGTCATGAGTCATGGGTTTGTGAGGATCTGTTGAACCAGAGCAGAGACTAAGTGGATCCTTCGGGACTTCACGAGAACGTTAAGACAGTCTGATGGACAGACTTCTTCAAGAGAGTTCTGTACTGAAGAGAGTCGCTTCAAGTCTGTTGAGCGAGAAGAAATCTACTGAACAACACTCTCTCCATAAAGGGACGAAAAAAGACATTGCTGGCACATCCCGGGACCTCATATAGGTGATACTCTCCTTTCAGACAATGTTGTGGTCAAAGTCTATATAATATTTTTATCATTAGGAGATGCTCACGCATCCCAAACCCTCTCGGTCGCACGAAGACGCGCAACGACTTATGTGTCGTTCAGTTTCTCACTTTAATATCGCTATATTGGCAAAGGTGATGGGGGAAAGGGTTGAAGTAACGGGGCTCTTGACCTTGATGTCGCTATTAGGCGTCTTATGATCACATTTTCATGAGAATCGTGCACAGACAGGTCAGTTCACCTCCATTCCGAAAGGGGTGGACCGTGAGGGCGGTAAACATGTCTAAGAGAACACTCTGATGCTTTGTAACCGTCTTACTCCCCTGGATTTCTGTATCATTCATTTCTTCGGATGCTACTGGGCCAAATAAATTCTGAATGCATAATCCGTAAGCTTGAAACTATCACAAAACAAGGCTCCAAGAAGTTCCATGGCACCGTCGAAATGAGGAACTCATTGAACAAATGATAATCTTCCAGCCATGTTAGGTTAAAAATTTGCATCACTCTAATGATCTTGGCGAGCGACGAAATCCCACTGAAGCTGAGCGTCTGAATGAGGGACTTGCCTTTCTCCCTACGCTTCTATGAAATTTACCAGCGCCATGCAAAACGCTCAGAAAATATGCCGTAAAGCTGTCAACTGTACGAAAAAAGTTAAGCTGCAGGTGATGGTACTTGAGCTAGCAACGAAAAACTGAAATAGATAAACCAAACCTCAACAGCAGATCCGAGTCTCGCTTGGTAAGCGTGGCCCATGTAGAATCATATTGAGGAGCAAATGAAGAAAATGGTCCATAATTGAGATACGTTATCATAGATTGCCCAGATAACCTGGAATGTAATTTTCTCACGTACTGTAGCCTAAGGGTGCGTTGAGACTTTGGCGTACGCCAGCGCCAGCGTATAGGAAAGCATGGGCATCGATCTAGCTTTTCGAGCTCCACCAACGTATGCCGGTGTACAGCGGGTTTCGAGAGATTAGGAAAATATAGATATCGATCTAGCGCACTTCAGTGTATGTCAGCGTACTGCGGGCAATCTGGGCTCGAGCAAACTGCCTGCGAAAACGCTGCTGCATGTTAGTGGACGTTTGAAACCTAGTCGCTCGAAACGCTTCTGTACGAGCACGCTAGATCGATTACACTTTCCCTAGTCGATGAACGTATGAACGCAGTCGTGAGGGTGTTCATCCAAAAAACTGGAAGACGGATTGCTTATACCCTCAAAAGGGTCAATCGCTCTACATGCAAACAACGAGCCCGATGACCAGCATCAACTGGTTTCATCAGAAGTACGCGAACTAAAGACTGACTCTGGAATTCGTCAGTCTTTCACCTTTAGTGAATATAGGGAAGGGAAGGTCCGAGGCTCGGAAACTATATGATCAATATCAATGATCCGCATTCAATAAGATCGTTGTACCTGTGATCTCCAAGACTCAACATTCCAGGCGTGCCCTCGTCC